AATTAGGTTGTCAGTTCTTCACGCTGCAGTCTTCACCCGTGCCTCTGAAAAACAAAAATTGACTCTGTAAGTTTTGCGAATATTTCAAAACAGACTCAGACAAATTTATAGATGCTGCACAATAGCTGAATCTACCTTTTCCGCTCGGTTGACAACTCTGCAGTTAAGTTTGGGGTGAAGACCATCATGCAGAGAACACTTGCAGTCCTGGGTAATTTCACCTCCTGCCAGAGAGTCAGTCACCCTCTTGGAGACCACACTGACAAACTGCTTTCTCTGTGGTGGTTTAGAGGCCAAGAAGTTCTTTGAGCTGAATGCTGATCCATAGCTCTGTGGATAAAAAGAATAACATTTTAGCTGCACAGAAACCAGGGTACACAATAAAATACAACCTAAAGTCAAAATACTTACACCTAGAGCAACCTTGATGCATGTATCTGACTCGTTCTTGAGGTGGTCGCGCAGCTCTGAGCTACCTTCGAAGGGCTTCTTCTTGTCATCGCCCAGAGTGTACACATGCTCAGAGTCAAAGCCAACAATTTCACTTGAGGGCTTGTCATTGTCCAGGGCCAGATCACTCAAGGGAGAGATGATGTGGAGGGAGATGCCCTGGTCACGGTAAGCGTAGCTGGCAAGGTGAGTACGAATCTGCATAAGCGAGATGGGCAGCAGAGAGCCCTCGCAAGCCTGACCCATCACACCAATGATGGACTTGACAGCACCAGCACGGAAGGGGTAGTCTCCAGCTTCTTTGAAGGCGTCAATGAGCCTCAGATTTCCAGTCTCCAGGTCAACCTGGTGTTTAACCCACTTAATCTTCTTTTCAACAGTATCCAGGGGCTTTTCATAGGTGGTGGGAGCACCGAACCAAATGTTCTTGCTCTTGCCTTCAAAGGAGAGGTCGCCACCAGAGGTGTAGTGGGACGGCCATTTCTGGTCAGGAGCTCCAAATCCGAGCAGAGAGAAGTGAACATCGGTGATGCCCTTGCCCTTGAGTTCATTGCTGAGAGATGCAATGAGGGGAACAACAAGGTCCTTAAACACTTCCTCATTGGGAGTAATCTGCTCTACAACCAGAACAATGTCTGCTGAAGTCTGGGGAGACTTGACGCTGACAAGATCTCCAAGGGCTACTTTGCTAGAACCAGTAGAACAGGTGACACAGCTGGATGGGATGTCAACCTTCACATGCTCATAACGGCAAGACTGAGTGTAGGCAAATGCCAGATTGCAGGCAGCCTTCTTCTTGTCAGCTTCAGATTTTGCCTCGGTAGCAACGTGATCGCAGGCGGTACGGAAAGCACCAGGGTTGATGTAAGGGAAGCAAGAGCTAAAAATAATGAAAATAAAATTATTACCAACAAATTACCAACAAATGCTAAAATGAGCACAATTTTACAGAATGTCACTAACCTGAGAGGAGAGTTGCCACTGAAGATGTTAGCACACTCAGAGTAAGATTCCTTGCCATGGTCGTGTTCAGCGTTAGGGACATCAGCACACTCAGAGTTTACCTTCCATGCATTTCCAAACTCGGAAATCTTGTTGGCAATCTTAGGACATTAAAAAAAGAAATTAATTACAAGTTACTTTAAGTTTTAATAAGAGAGATAAATATTCACTTTGTTACCTTTCCATTGGGAAGAGCAAGGTCGTCAAACTGTTCATAGTTCATGTTGCCAAGAAGACCACGGGTCTTGCCGAAGTAGAAGCCACTAAGGAAGAACTGGCAGACGTTACTCTTCATGTCGCAAGTGACAAAGACACCTGAGTCGGACCTAAGGTTGGCATTGTCATAACGGCGCCAAGCAGACAGACCACCCTGATGGGCAGGGAAGTCCTGAGGCTTTCCATTTACGAGGATTGACATGTCAGATTCCAGTTCAATGGAGTCCTTTGCATCATTCAAAAGGATTGATTTAAACTTGCCACCCTCCAGGTTGACAATCAAGCTGAAGTTGCCATCAACAAAGTCCTGGGCCAGAACATAGGAGCAGGCTCCCTTGAAGTTGTAGTATTTACGGTCAAAGGTGTAGAAGTTGCTGGAGTCCACAAGGATACCATACATCTTGTAAGGAGGCACCCAGTCAAGGGGGTTGAGAGTGGGTCTGTAGGTGTAGTAAGCATCAGAGAGAGAAGGCAGGTCGCCACTCTGCAGCCACTTAAGAGGGCTGAAATGAATGGGAGCAAAGATAGGCAGCTGGAACCAAGAGGATCCAGGCAGAGGCACAGCAGTGAACTTGAGAAGTTTGTCAATGTCTTCCTGGGAAATTTGAGACTTGATCAGATTGACGATGGACTTCAGGGCGAGGATGGCGTTGTTGTAGATAGCCTTCAGCTCCTCCAGGTCATTAACCTTCTGGTGCTTCAGGTGCTTCTCAGCGTAGCTGCTGATAGTCTGCAGAAGATCACCGACCTCAGGGGTAGGCATGGAGGCACCCAGGGCGTCAATCATGTCACGAATAATAGTCCAAGTCTGCTCAGGTACTTGCATCTTTTTGAGCTCTGCGTATCTTTCCTTCAAGACCTCATAGATGGGAAGAGCCTTCAGCTGTTCCATGAAGAGCTTGACAAAGTCCTCTACTTCATGACGGATCTGCCCAACAGCCTTGCTAACAATACGGCCAATGTCTTGGATACCCTGACCAACGGTGGTGGCAATCTTCTTGATGTCCTCCTCATGCTTACGGACCAGTTCGACAACCTGGCTCATGTAGTTAGCAATCACCTGGGCAATAGCATCAACTGCACCAACAGCTGATTCAGCAACGGAGGCATAAACCTCAGTAAGTTTAGCAACCCACTGTTTCACAGTTTCACTCAACCTCTTCAAAGGTTTCTCCAGGATCTCTACATACTTATGCAGCTCTGTCTGGATTTTGTCCAAAATAGCGGTAATGCGGGAGACGACTTCCTTACTAGAATTTAAAAGAAAAGAAAATTAGTAAAATAGTACCAATTTTAACTATTTTTCTTGAAAAATGTGAGATACATACATGATGTCAGTGATTTCCTTGGCAAGTTTCTCATTGGCAAGTTCGTCAGAAAGAGCCTTCAGTTCCTTCTGGTAAGTTTCAATAACTGGCTTAAGGTTTGGCTTGGCCTTCTTCATTTCTGCAGCAACATCTGCAATGTTGTTGTTACCCTCCAAGAGAGCATCAGCAATCTGGATCCTAGCTTGGCTGGCAAAGGTAGTTCCCTCCTTCCTCAGGGCATCCTAAAGGAAACAGATAGGGTCAATGACAAAAGAAAGGTTGAGGGAAAGGAGAAAATCAAGTATGAAAATTAATTCACTCACAATGGTAGCCTTGACATTATCGTATGAACCACCGTATTCTGTCTGAAGGAAGTGGGACTCATCGAGGGCAACGGTAGCGTAGAACAGGTCCTTCTTAGCATCACCATCCTGCTTGGTAGCTCTAATCTCAGCCACTTGACCCCATCCAAAACCTCCCTTCAGAGATAATTTCTTGTTAGGATCCTCTGTAATTAAAATTAAAAGGGATTTTAAATTATTGT